TTTTTTTTTTTTTTTGAGACAGGGTCTCACTCTGTTGCCCAGGCTGGGGTGCAATGACATGATGTTGGCTCACTGCAACCTCTACTTCCTGGGCTCAAGCAATCCTCCCGCCTTAGCCTCCTAAGTAGCTGGGATTACAGGTGCCTGCTACCATGCCCAGCTAATTTTTGTACTTTTTGTAGAGATGGGGTTTCACCATGTTGGCCAGGCTGGTCTCGAACTCCTGGCCTCAAGTGATCCACCTGCCTCAGCCTCTCAAAGTGCTAGGATTATAGGGATGAGCCACTGCACTGGCCCCCTTTTTTTTTCTATACAATGAATATGGACGATTTATCCAAAAGTAATATAATGCTAATTTTTTTTTTTTTTTTGAGACAGGATCTTAGTCTGTCACCAGGCTGGTGTGCAGAGGCACTATCACAGCTCTCACTGCAGCCTTCACCTCCTGCCCTTAAGTGATCCTCCCACCTCAGCCTCCCAAGTAGCTGGGACTACAGGCCCATGCCACCACACCTAATATTTTTATTTTTTGTAGAGATGGCATTTCACTATGTTGCCCAAGCTGGTCTCAAACTTCTGGGCCCAAGCAATCATCCCACCTCTGCCAAAGTGCTGGGATTACAGGTGAGAGCCACTGTGCCTGGCCCTATTTTATACTATTATTTGTTCTTTCCCTGAGGGACATTACAAGGTCTAGATTGTTCAGTTTTCCTTTTTCTTTTTGATAATGGGTCTCACTCTGTCACCCAGGCTGGAGTGCAGTGGCACCACCGTCATTGGTCACTGCAGCCTCAAACTCCTGGGTTCAAGTGATCCTCCTGCCTCAGTCTCCCTAGTAGTTGGGACTACAGGTGTGCACCACTATACTTGGCTAAAGTTTAAAATTCTTTGTAGAGATGGGGTCTCGCTATGCTATCCAGGCTGGTTTCGAACTCCTAGCCTCAAGCGATCCTCCTGACTTAGCCTGCCAAAGTGCTGGGATTACACATACGTGCCACTATGCTAGGCCTTGGTTTTCTTTGTATCACAACAAGAAGTAGCAAACATGATACTTGCTGAAGTCATGATAAAATGAACCCAGAAAATCGCCATAGAAAAACAAAGCTAATAAGAATAACGCCCTTTCAGCCAGGCACAGTGGCTCACACCTGTAATCCCAGCACTATGGGAGGCCGAGGCGGATGGATCACTTGAGGTCTGGAGTTTGAGACCAGCCTGGTCAATATGGTCAAACCCCATCTGTACTAAAAATACAAAAATCAAGCAGGCGTGGTGGCGCACGCCTGTAATCCCAGCTACTTGGGAGGCTGAGGCAGAGGTTGCAGTGAGCTGAGATTGCACTACGGCACTCCAGCCTGGGTGACAGAATGAGACTCTGTGTCACACACACACAGAAAGAATAATGCTCTTTCAACTTCCTGAAAAATTTCTAACAAAATGCTTGTCACAGATACAACTGGTTGTCCAGCAATTCCTGCTCCTTAGCAATTCCTGTTCACCCCTTCTTCCTTAGTATCAATTCCCCTAAACTTTAACTGAAATTGCAGTGAGGCGTGGCCCAGAACTCAGTCCCAGTCAATGGGACAGAAATTCGAGTGTGATATGGGACTTTCAGAAAAGGAGGCATGCCTGGCCAGGCACAGTGGCTCAAGCCTATAATCCCAACACTTTGGGAGGCCGAGGTGGGCGGATCACCTGAGGTCAGGAGTTTGAGACCAGTCAGGCCAACATGGAGAAACCCCGTCTCTAGTAAAAATACAAAAATTAGCCAGGCGTGGTGGCGCACACTTGTAATCTCAGCTACTCAGGAGGCTGAGGCAGTAGAACTGCTTGAACTTGGGAGGCGGAGGTTGCAGGGAGCCGAGATCACACCACTGCACTCCAGCCTGGGCAACAGAGTGAGCCCCATCTCAAAAAAAAACAAAAAACAAAAAACAAAAAAACAAAACAGGAAAGGAGGCAGGTCCTTCTCTGCTCATTTCTATAAGGAGGCAGCCAGATGGGAAAGTAAGGGTGACAGGGCAGGCAGATGTTCAGAATACAATTCTTTTTTTTAAAATAGAGACAGGGTCTTGCTCTGTTGCTTAGGCTGGAGGGCAGTGCCACAATGATGGCTCACTGGAGCCTTGACCTCCTAGGTTCAAGCTATCCTTCTGCCTCAGCCTCCCAAGTAACTGGGACTATATGCATGTGCTACCACACCCGGCTAAAGGAGTTATACTTTTATCTTGTTTAAACCACTTCTATATTGGTGTCTAGTCACATACTAACTGATACCATGGTCAAATTTTGCCACTAAAACACATAGTTATTACTTTCCTTTCTCCAAGAATACAGGGACTTTTAAAAAACCATTTGTACCATATAGCATGTACATGTGCAAAATGTAAATCTTAATTTTCACCTGAATTTCTTACCCACATCTGCACTTTGCACATCTTTCCCACGAAGAATGACCAAGTTAGCAATGGAAGTGTTAAAATGCAGGTCCTTGTTGAGAGACATTTTACCAAGAGAAGAAGGTCCTGATAAAGAAGGCCGCACATGCCAATCAATACCTACCAAAAGAAAAAAAAAAAGCAAGAGATTTTATTTTATTTACTTAGTTTTCTGAGATGGAGTCTCACTCTGTTGCCTAGGCTGAAGTGAAGTGGCGTGATCTTGGCTCACTGCAACCTCCATCTCCCGGGTTCAAGCGATTCTCCTGCCTCAGTCTCCCCCAGTAGCTGGGTAGACAGGATTAAAGGTGTGTGCCATCACACCCAGCTAATTTTTTTTGCATTTTTAGTAGAGACGGGGTTTCACCATGTTGGCCAGGCTGGTCTCGAACTCCTGACCTCAAATGATCCGCCTGCCTCAGCCTCCCAAAGTGCTGGGATTACAGGCGTGAGTCACTGCACCCAGCCCAAAAGCAAGAGATTTTATAAACGGCTCTGAACGAAAGGAGGAAAATGGTCTTGTGGAATGTGTATGTTAGTTTTTTTTGGACAGGGTCTCGTTATGCCACCCAGGCTGGAGTGCAGTGGCTATTCACATGTGTGATCATAGCTCACTGCAGCCTCAAACTCCGGGGCTCCAATGATCCTCCCGCCTTGTCCTCCCATGTATCTAGGACTATAGGCATTATTTTTCCTGTCTAAAAGGGAGGGTCTATCAATTCTCCTATGCCTATTCCACTAGAGTCTGTTGGGGCAAAAAATTGTACTCAAAGGGCTATCTTTGAGTACAAGATATCTTAGGATGGGTGTGATGGCTCATGCCTGTAATCCTAGCACTTTGTTGCGCTATGGTGGGAGGATCTCTTGAGCCCAGGAGTTCAAGACCAGCCTGGACAAAATAGTGGTCTCCTCTTCTAAAAAAAAATACAAAAATTAGTCTGGCATCTGTGGCATGCACCTATAGTTCCAGCTACCGGAGAAACTGAGTGGGGAGAATTGCCTAAGCCCAGGAGGTCGAGGCTACAGAGAGCCGTGATCGTGCCACTGCACTCCAGCCTGGGTGACAGTGCGAGAAGTCTCACTTGAGGAGTATAAATCCATGCTGCTTTTGGAGGATAAGATTTTGGACCAATGTGCTAATGGTATGTAACTATTGGGGGCCTTGGGATGGGAAGAATGTACCGTGCATGTGGGAGGACATGACTTAGGGACAGCGCAGAGAACAGCAGTCAGCCTCCAACATGATCCCAATCATCTTCGCTTCCTGGTATTCAAGCCCTGGGGGAGTATGCTCTCACACTGGAGAGGGCTGACCTTAACCAAAAGGATGTTGCAGAAATAACTTCCAAAGCTAGGTCACGAAAGGCATTAACTTCAAGGCCAGGCATGGTGGCTCACGCCTGTAATCTTAGCACTTTGGGAGGCTGAGGCAGGCGGATCACTTGAGGTGAGGAGTTCAAGACCAGCCTGGCCAACATGGTGAAACCCCATCTCCACTAAAAATACAAAAAAAATTTAGCTGGGCGTGGTGGCAGGCGCCTGTAATCTTAGCTACTTGGGAGGCTGAGGCAGGAGAATCATTTGAACCCGGGAGGCAGAGGCTGCACTGAGCCAAGATCATGCCACTGCACTCCACCCTGGGCGACAGAGCAAGACTCTGTCTCAAAAAAAAAAAAGGGGGGGGGGGCGCATTAACTTCTGCCTTGCTCCTTCCTGGATCACACATTCTCCCTAAAGGTAGAACATGTAGAAACAGATAGTGATGGTGATAGAAATGGGGTAAATCTTTACATAGAGGCCAGGCATGGAGGCTCATGCCTGTAATCCCAGCACTTTGAGAGGCTGAGGTGGAAGGATCACTTGAAACCAAGGGTTCAAGACTAGCCTGGGCAACATAGTGAGACCCCCAACTCTCCAAAAATAAAAGAAATAACAAAATTAGGCTGGGTGTGGTGGCTCATGCCTGTAATCCCAGCTCTTTGGAAGGCCGAGGTGGGCAGATCACGAGGTCAAGAGATCGAGACCATCCTGGCCAACATGGTGAAACCTTGTCTTTACTAAAAATACAAAAATTAGCTGGGCGAGGTGGTACATGCCTGTAGTCCCAGCTATTCAGGAGGCTGAGGCTGGGGAATCGTTTGAACTCGGGAGGCGGAGGTTGCAGTGAGCCAAGATTGTGCCACTGCACTCCAGCCTGGCGATAGAGTGAGACTCCATTTCAAAAAAAAAAATAAATAAATAACAAAATTAGTCACTTATGGTGGTACACACCTGTAGTCCTAGCTACAGGAAGCTGCAACGGGGGATCACTTGAGCCCAGGAGTTTGAGGCCGCACTGAGCTATGATTGCACCACTACACTCTAGCCTAGGTGAGAGTGAAACCTGTCTCAAAAACAAAACGCACAAAATCTTCCCACAGAGCAGAGAATATATGAAGAGTTATAAAACTAGATCCTTCAACCAGGCTTATGCCATATATATTTTTATTCATATACTATTCATACACGCGTATGAAAACATTTATATGTTCAAACTATACAACTGTGAAAAAATGTTGACACCCGGCCGGGCGCGGTGGCTCATGCCTATAATCCCAGCACTTTGGGAGGCCAAGGCGGGCGAATCACGAGGTCAGTTTAAGACCACCCTGGCCAATATGGTGAAACCCCGTCTCTACTAAAAAAATACAAAAATTAGACGGGCATGGTGGTGCGCACCTGTAGTCCCATCTATTTAGGATGCTGAGGCAAAAGAATCGCTTCAACCGGGAGGCGGAGGCTGTAGTGAGCTGAGAGCCACTGCACTCCAGCCTGGGTGACAGAGCGAGACTCCATCCCCCCCGCCAAAAAAAAAAAAAGAGAAAGAAAAAATGTTGACACCCTAAAGTTCCACATGGGAACTCAGCAAACTGTGGTTTATTGACCTAAGAGAGCTCAGAGCAGCACGTCTCACAGGACTCTAAGGAACATTGTGTTCCTTACCGTATTAACAGGTATAGCTAGAAAAACAGGTACTGTGGCCAAAAAATTCAGGAAGCACTATTTTTACATGTAAACTTTTTGCTTGCCTCCAAACCTCTGGCACTATAATCTAAAATCCGTAAGATATTACAAATAAATGTTGAGAAAATCTACTCTGATAGTATAAAAACCTAACTTATTTTAATCTGTGGTATAATGTACGCTATTAACACCTAGTAGTGATTTCTAGTTACACATGACAGACTGAACATGTCAGTTTCCTGCCACTCTCTCCTCAGATCCTGCTTAATCAATAAAAGGATAACCATAAACAAGAAAAAAAGGGAACAGGAGAGAATATAACAGCAACAAAATTTTGGAAGCTGGAGAGCAAATGAACTACTGGTTACTGACTGCACAACAAGAAAAAGCTAAAAAGTTTGCCCACAGTTGAGGTCCTGGAAGTAGACCAGACGCTTTTCACAGTGGAAAAAAGGCTGGGTACGGTGGCTTACGTCTGTAATTCCAGCACTTTGGGAATTTGAGGCAGGCGGATCGCTTGAGGTCAGGAGTTTGAGACCAGCCTGGCTGACATGATAAAACCCCATCTCTACTAAAAATACAAAAATTAGCTAGGTGTGGCGGTACACATTGGTACACTGGTAGTCCCAGCTACTTGGAAGGCTAAGGTGGGAGGATCACCTGAACCCGGGAGGTGGAGGTTGCAGTGAGCCAAGATGAGGCCACTGCACTCCAGCCTGGGTGACAGAGTGCAACTCCATCTAAAAAAAAAAAAAAAGAAAGAAAAAAGAAAAAAGAAAATCGAAGTGGGAAAAAAAACAGGAGGATTAACTAAAAATCTGTTTGAGAGGCAGTGAGAGCCCCTTCCCCACTCCCTGCGGCAGCGGGAATGTGCTCCTCTACCCTAGAAGGAGGTTTCTGCTGTGAAAAGGTTAAACCTGGGAGGCTCTGGCCTCAGTGACACCAGGCACAGCCCTGTAGAGAATCTTTGGAAACCCAGGTCACAAAGTAGAAGCTTTCGCAGGAAAGCTTGACAGTCCATGTCTTCCCCGTCCAGCTCTGAAGAGGCTGGCAGCCAGGCTTATCATGCGTTCAGGAAAGAGATGGATGAGGAAGCAACTGATCAAGAGATAAGATACGCTGAATATGGTATTTCAAAGCCCAACAACAAAATGGCCAGGCAGATCGCCTTACTGTGAAACCCACACAAGTCTGCAATGTCCATAAGGGTCCATTCAGTGCTCAGAGCAATTAACTCAGCAAATAATCACTGAGTGTTTACTGTTCCAGGCTCCAAAGATGCAACAGTAAACCAAGTAGATAAAAACTTACCTTCTATTGAGATAAACCAAAGACCCATGTCAAGTACGTTCAGAATACTGGGGACAAAGAGAAAATCCTAAAAGCTTCAAGAGATAACAAAATAGGATTGGAAATCAGAACAACATGAGACTTCCCAACAGCAACGCTGCAAGTGAGAAGATGATAGAGCAATGCCTTCGAAATACTCAGCGAAAAGAAAATGATTCCCAACCTAGAATCCTATCCCTGGCCAAACTATCATTCAAATGCAATGGCAGAACAGAATGATGATATTTATTTATTTTTATTTATTTATTTTTGAGACAGGGTCTCACTCTGTCGCCAAGGCTGGAGTGCAGTGGCGCGATCTTGACTCACTGCAACCTCCCTCCACCTCCCAGGTTCAAGTGATTCTCCTGCCTTAGCCTCCTGAGTAGCTGGGACCATAGACGCCCGCCACCATGCCCGGCTAATTTTTTTTTGTATTTTTAGTAGAGACAGGGTTTCACTGTGTTAGCCAGGATGGTCTCGATCTCCTGACTTCATGATCCGCCTGCCTTGGCCTCCCAAAGTGCTGGAATTACAGATGTGAGCCACTGCGCCCAGCCAGAATATATTTGTAGCCTCAAACACTTTACTTTCCTTGTACTCTTTCTTAGGGAGCTCCTGAAAGGTATGGTCCATCAATATGAGGGAATAAATCAAGAAAGCAGATTTGAAATCTAGGAGGTACAGATATAAATCAGGATGAGGCAAGCAGAGATGCCAGAGCTGGCTGCTTATCAAGCCTGGACAGCAGTAAGTCCAGAATGGAATGGGAAGATAAAGGCCTTCCAGAAGGATGTCTCTAAGCAGATAATGCAAGTAATCGATTACCTGATGGGTTTAAAAATATTGATAAAGAGTTCTTTCTTTTGTTGTTTTTGAGACAGGGTTTTGCTCTGTTGCCCAGACTGGAGTGCAGTGGCATGATCATGGCTCATTTTAAACTCAAACCCCTTGGTTGAAGGGATTCTCCTGCCCCACCGTCCCAAGTAGCGAGGACGGTGCATACCACTATGCCCAGCTAATTTTTTTTTTTTTTTTGAGACAGAGTCTCGCTCTGTTGCCCAGGCTGGAGAGCGGGGGTGCTATCTCAGCTCACTGCAAACTCTGCCTCCCGGGTTCAAGAGATTCTCCTGCCTCAGCTCCTGGGTAGCTGGGATTACAGGTGTGTGCTATCATGCCTGACTGATTTTTTGTATTTTTAGTAGAGATGGGGTTTCTACTACATCCATATTAGCCAGGATGGTCTTGATCTCCTGACCTTGTCAGCCTCGGCCTCCCAAAGTGCTGGGATAACAAACGTGAGCCACCGTGATGGGCCAGCTAATTTTTTTTAAATTACTTTTTTAGAGATGGGGTCTTGCTTTGTTGCTCAAGCTGGTTTTGAACTCCTGGCCTCAAGCGATCCTCCTGCCTCAGCCTCCCAAAGTGCTGAGCTTACAGGAGTGAGCCACCACATCTGAGAAGGGATTCATTTTTTACAGAAAAGTTTGAGGATAAATTGGTGATAGGTACAGGGAATATCAACCAAATAAATACAATGATTAACAACTCCAGGAGGGAAAAATAAATTGTACACACAAAAAAATATAATCTATGTACACAGTACAAGGCTCTACTATGAATTAATATTTACACAGCAAAAGTAATACAAACATTGAAAACTGATCTAACTCCCAAGTATGTTAGGAGAAAGGATGAAGGTAAATATGAGTGTGTGTGAGTGTGCACATACGTGTCAGTATATATATATATATATGAATGTGGGAATGTGTGTGTGTATGTGTGTGTGTAGAGGGAGTGTAAGATGATTCAATTCTCAATTTTCTTTTTTTTTTTGAGATGCAATTTCACTCTTATCATCCAGGCTGGAATGCAGTGGCACTATCTCGGCTCACTGCAACCTCTGCCTCCCAGGTTCAAGCAATTCTCCTGCCTCAACTTCCTAAGTAGCTGGGATTACGGGTGCCTGCCACTATGCCTGGCTAATTTTTTTTGTATTTTTAGTAGAGAAGGGGTTTCACCATGTTGGCCAGGCTGGTCTTGAACTCCTGACCTCAGGTGATCCACCACCTCGGCCTCCCAAAGTGCTGGGATTACAGGCATTAGCTACCATGCCCAGCCCAATTCTCAATTTTCACACTAGGAATGCAAGAGATAACAACATAAGTAAAACATTTATAACTGTGGAGGAAAATTCTAGATGAAATAGCTAAAAACGTTGAAAGTAGTTTCATCTGTATAATGGGGAGGTGTAGGATTGCTGTTTTCCTTGTCATAAAATCATACCAGACATTACTTAACTTTTTTCTTTTTCTTTTTTTTTTCTGAGAAAGGGTCTCACTGTCACCCAGGCTGAAGTGCAGTGGTGTGATCACAGCTCACTGCAGCCTTGACCTCCTGGGCTCAGGTGATTCTCCCACCTCAGTCTCCCAAGTTGCTGGGAATACAGGCCCATGTCACCATGTCCAGATAACTTTTTATATTTCTTGTAGAGGGGTTTTGCCATGTTGCCCAGGCTGGTCTCGAACTCCTGGGCTCAAGCGCTTCTCCTGCCTTGGCCTCCCAAAGTGCTAAGATTACAGGTATGAGCCACCATACCTGGCCCATTACTTGACCTTTTAAAAAACTGAGATATAATTGGCCAGGCGCGGTGGCTCACGCCTGTAATCCTAGCACTCCGGGAGGCTGAGATGGGCGGATCACGAGGTCAGGAGATTGAGACCATCCTGGCTAAGATGGTGAAACCCCGTCTCTACTAAAAATATAAAAAATTAGCTGGGTGCAGTGGCGGACGCCTGTAGTCCCAGCTACTCGGGAGGCTGAGGCAGGAGAATGGCGTGAACTCGGGAGGTGGAGGTTGCAGTGAGCCAAGATGGCGCCACTGCACTACAGCCTGGGTGACAGAGCGAGACTCAGTCTCAAAAAAAAAAAAAAAAGTAAGATATACTTTAAATACAGTGCAATGTATGGATTTAAGTATATATTTAAGTGAGTTTTGGCTACTTGATTTTTAAAACTATGTTCATTACTTTGATTAAAAAAAAAAAATCTGGCACTCATTTGAAATGTCTTTTGGTAATGAAACTGTGAAGTGATTAAGAAACCCTCCTAGGATGCCCTGGTGAGTTTCTGCCGGAGTCTCCCTAGCCGGAAAAAAGGTCCATTATCTCAACTACTCCAAGCCAGTAGACAGTCTCAATATAGAGACTCCAGGACGGACACTTTTTCCAGTTTGTGGGCTGCATATTTTGGACTACTCTTTACCTTCCTCCATCTTTGCATTAGAAATGAGCATCTGTCTCAAATGCTTGAGCAGGCCAGCCCAAGTAAATGTGCTGTATGCCAATGAATTCTCAGACATGTGAGGCACGTTACGAATACTCAGCATCTTGAATTCAGGATGGGGAACTAAATGCTCCATTAAGTCTCCTGTAAAGAAAAAAAAATATCTGAACTAATTTTTTTTTATTCCACATTGTTGCCAATGGTCTACATAAAACCATGATTTGAAGGTTTTCTGGGCCAAATGTTTTTTTCTCTTCTTAGACCAGAATTATTTAATCTTTAATATGAATACAATTTCAGAGACAATGTCTATTACACACCACCTCTTTGCTTCATTTTAGCACCGACTTGAGCATGAGCGAGAAAATACACTTTGCCAAAAAGCAAACTACAATTTAGAAGCTGAATAACTGTAAATGTGAATGAAATATTTAGGTAAACTCCAGGAAAACAAAGTAAACATGAGAATTGATACGCTTTTCCTGTCATTCTATGTTCACTAAATATTGTTCTATTCTTTCTTTTTTTTGAGACGGAGTCTTATTCTGTCGCCAGGCTGGAGTGCAGTGGCGTGATCTCAGCTCACTGCAACCTCCGCCTCCTGGGTTCACGCCATTCTCCTGCCTCAGCCTCCTGAGTAGCTGGGACTACAGGCACCCGCCACCACGCCCAGCTAATTTTTTGTACTTTAGTAGAGATGGGGTTTCACCATGGTGGCCAGAATGGTCTCGATCCCCTGATCTCGTGATCCACTTGCCTCGGCCTCCCAAAGTGCCGGGATTACAGATGTGAGCCACTGCACCCACCCCACTAAATATTCTTTTAGGAATATTACTAGTTTTTTTTTTTTTTTTTTAGTAGGGACAGGGTTTCACCATGTTGGCTGGGCTGTTCTTGAACTCCTGACCTCAGGTGATCCACCCGCCTCGGCCTCCCAAAGTGCTGGGATTACAGACATGAGCCACTGCGCCTGGTTCAAGATTTTTACATATTGTATCTGGTTAGGTGATAATCAAAACCTGTTAATATGAAAGTTAATATGAGCCAGGTGTGGTGGCTCACGCCTGTAATCCCAGCACTTTTGGAGACTGAGGTGGGCAGATCATGAGGTCAGGAGTTTAAGGGCAGCCTGGCCGACATGGTGAAACACCGTTTCTACTAAAAATATGAAAATTAGCCAGGCATGGTGGCGGGCACCTGTAATCCCAGCTACTCGGGAGGCTGAAGCAGGAGAATCGCTTGAACCTGGGAGGCGAAGGCTGCAGTGCATCGCGCTCCAGGCTGGGGGACAAAGCGAGACTCTGTCTCAAAAAAAACCAAAAGTTAACATGAAACTCTATTTGGAAAGAAGACGAGATTAGATATTCCTTAAGACAGGAATGTGCCTATCTTTAGAAACTTGTATTTACGATGAAATAGAATTAAGGAGAAAGGCTAATTTCCTTTACATTCACAGCTGTCTCATATATTTATAGAAAATACCTTGAGGATAGGGAAAAATATATTACCATAATATGAAACAAACTTTATACCATTGAGTACAAACTCATAATATACATCCTAAAGAAAGAACAAATTTTGACACAAACATCTATAAGATGCTACACAGGTAGGCTTGTGCGAATGGAATGTCCTCTAAATGTAGAATTCTTTTCTGTAAAATACCTACAGTTGAATTCTACTGCATAGCACAAGTAAATATACAGTAGTCAGAAAATAATTCCTGAGCACTATGGCATGAATTCTTTTTTTTTCTTTTTAGACAGTGTTTTGTTCTGTTGTCCAGACTGGAGTGCAGTGGCACAATCAAAGCTCTGCAACCTCGAACTCCTCGAACTCCTGGGCTTAAGTGACAGCCCCATCTCAGCTTCCCTAGTAGCTGAGATTACAGGTGCGCACCACAATGCCTGTTTTTTTTTTGTTGGGGGAACGGAGTTTCGCTCTTATTGCTCAGGCTGGAGTGCAGTGGCGTGATCTTGGCTCACTGCAACCTCCCCCTCCCAGGTTCAAGCAATTCTCCTGCCTCAGCCTCCCAAGTAGCTGGGATTACAGGCATGTGCCACTACACTCAGCTAATTTTTTATTTTTGACTCCCAACCTCAGGTGATCTGCCCGTCTTGGCCTCCCAAAGTTTTGGGATTACAGGCATGAGCCACCATACCCGGCCACTTTTTAAATTCTTAGTAGAGATAAGGTCTTGCTACACTGCCCAGGCTGGCTTCGAACTCCTGGCCTCAAGTGATCTTCCCACCCTGGCCTCCTAAAGCACTGGGATTACAGAAGTGAGCCATGGTGCCCAGCCAATGCATGAATTATTAATTGTTGCAATCTGCTCTCCCTTCCAGCTTTCTTGTTCAGCTACTCTTACCTTAACCATTGTGTGTGTGTGTGTGTGTGTGTTTTTTTTTTTTTAAACAGAGTCTTGCTCTGTCGCCCAGGCTGGAGTATAGTGGTGCAATCTCAGCTGACTGCAACCTCTGCCTCCCGGGTTCAAGAGATTCTCCTGCCTCAGTCTTCTGAGTAGCTGGCATTATAGGTACCCACCACCACACCTGGCTAATTTTTGTATGTTTTGTAGAGCCAGGGTTTCAACATGTTGGCCAGGCTGGTCTCAAACTTCTGACCTCAGGTGATCCACCCACCTCAGCCTCCCAACGTGCTGGGATACAGGCGTGAGCCACCCCGCCTGGCCACCTTACCCATTCTTAAACCTCCTTGAGACCTTAATCCATGGAGTGCCTGCCTTTCAATCAGTCTTCCTCTTTCTGGCAAAATCCCAGTCTTGGGCCAACCCCACTCCTCACCTTCTGTCAGAGCACAACTATGGAAAGTCACGCCACATGGCAGACTCAGACCTCTTTGAATTCCCAATCTCCACACACTATGGTGACGCCCACATTGACAACTCTGGATGAGACGGGAAACCTCAGGAAGGTTCTGAAAAGGGGAGCAACAGGATCTGACTTACGCTTTTAAAAACTGCAAAGCCAGAGTTCAGTCTGGCTGCCGTACTTAGGAAAAGGCTAGGGCTGGGTGCAGTGGCTCACGCCTGTAATCCTAGCACTTTGGGAGGCCGAGACGGGCGGATTATTTGAGATCAGGAATTCGAGACCAGCCTGGCCAATATGGTGAAACTCCGTCTCTACTAAAACTACAAAAATCAGTTGGGCATGGTAGCATGTGCCTGTAGTGTAGTCCCAGCTACTCAGGAGGCTAAGATAGGAAAATTGCTTGAACCCAGGAGGCGGAGGTTGCAGTGAGTCAAGATTGCACCACTGCACTCCAGCCTGGGCAACACAGCGAGACTCTGTCTCAAAAAAAAAAAAGAAAAATCACTGACTTGTACACTTTAAATGGGTGAATTGCATGCTAGGTGAGTTATATCTCAATGTGGTTTCTATTAAGAAAAGAAAGAGAGAGAAAGAATCCTGAAGAAGAGCAGTGGATACCCATTGCCCTTTAGCAACTTCTCAGTTTTTCAATAAGACAGTTCAGAGAACTAAGCAGATGTGAAGAAAGGGTTTTGAGATAAGCAAGACTTAAGTGTATCTTCAGGTAGAGGAGACAGAAAGAATAAACTTTGAAGCTTTCAGAACATAAGGCTTTCCTATAATTAACATATAGAGGGACAAATACCTAGTGGATTTCGTCTGTAGTGAAATGAGCTTTCTGCAGAATAAGTAGGCTGGAACACACTTCCCAGCTGATGTGCGAGGACTTGATTGATATCACTAAAGGATATCTGCTTGATATTCATCAGTTTTGCACAGATCTTATGGACGGCATCATTCTCATGAACAAGGAGGGCGTCTGAAGATCGGTACAAGTGAGAAAGTGTCAAAATGGAGTTGTAGTTTTGAACAATAACCTGGAGAGGAAAAGGTCAGAAAAAAGAAAGGTAGGAGAGAATAATGGTTAAGATTACAGATTCTCAAGGCATCCTGGCTGGGTTCAAATCCGGGCTCTGTCACTTTCTAGCTGTATGATCTTGGACAAGTTTTTTAATCTCTCTATGCTCGGTTTCCCTTTTTTTTTTTTGAGACAGAGACTCGCTCTGTCACCCAGGCTGGAGTACAGTGGCACCATCTCTGCTCACTGCAACCTCGGCCTCCCGGTTCGAGATTCTTGTGTCTTAGCCCCCTGAGCAGCTGGAATTACAGGCTTGTGCCACCATGCCCAGCTAATTTTTGTGTTTTTAGTAGAGACAGTGTTTCACCATGTTGGCCAGGCTGGTCTCAAACTCCTGGCCTCAAGTGATCTACCTGCCTTGTCCTCCTAAAGTGCTGGGATTATAGGCATGAGCCACTGTGCCCAGCCAGTTTCCTCATTTCTAATGGCTTCCTAGAACTGTAAGGATTAATGACACAATGCAAGTTAAACACTTAGAACAAGGCCTTTTATGGGCACAACAAAAATTGGCCATTATTTTCATACTTATTTCCTACTTCATTTCTTGTAGTGACTTGTGTCGCCTGATTTGTTTCTTCAACTAGGTTGATCAACAGGAAATTGGCTTATATAGAAATTTTCAAGCCAGGCGCAGTGGCTCACACCTGTAATCCCAGCACTTTGGGAGGCTGAGGTGGGTGGATCACCTGACATCGAGAGTTCGAGACCAGCCTGACTAACATTGAAAACCCTCGTCTCTACTAAAAAGACAAAATTAGCCGGGTGTGGTGGCGGGCACCTGTAATCCCAGCTACTTGGGAGGCTGATGCAGGAGAATCGCTTGAACTGGGGAGGCGGAGGTTGCGGTGAGCCGAGATCGCGCTACTGCACTCCAGCCTGGGCAATAAGAGCAAAACTCTGTTTCAAAAAAAAAAGACATTTTCTCCCAATGTGAAGAAATAAAAATTACTTGAAGGTGGCAATGGCACCATGAATCCCAACATGAGGTCAAGGTGTCTGCTTTATATACTGGAATAAGAGAGACATTCTCAGGAATCAGTTCCTGAGAGAAGCAGCACAATCACCTTCTCTGACTTTTTATTTGAGACAAAGTCTTGCTCTGTTGCCCAGGCTGGAGTGCAGTGACATGATTTTGGCTCAATGCAACCTCCGCTTCACAGGTTCAAGTAATTCTCCTGCCTCAGCCTCTCGAGTAGCTGGGACAATAGGCAGGAGCCAAAATGCCTGGCTAAGTTTTGTATTTGTAGTAGAGACGGGGTTTCGCCATGTTGGCCAGGCTGGTCTCGAACTCCTGGCCTCAAATGATCTGCCCACCTTAGCCTCCCAAAGTGCTGGGATTACAGACATGAGCTCCTCGGCCTGGCCATTCTCTGAAAAAAGAATCTTTTTTTTTTTTTTTTTGAGACAGAGTCTCGCTCTGTCGCCCAGG